TTGTTCAAAGCTTTGGGAGCTTTGAGTTAAACAAGACCTACGGCCATTTTATATGCTTTAACAAGTAACGTGAAAAACTCTCTTGTAGCTCAAACCTAAACTTGGAAATGGATAAAACATCTCTGTCCAGTTCCTTTTCCCTCCTCTTCAAGAACAGTTCATTTAGGTCTTGTTCCCCGAGGGGAAAATGGCCGAAACCCACGTCTCTCTCTGTGTAAATATGAAACTAAAGCCAGCAGACAGGTAGAAGAACAGAAGCCATGGCTCTGTTCAACGTTCATCATTCGTAGATATCCCATGAAATTGATTTAATGATTTCCATGCAATCATGAACAAGTATACAAGGTGGGGTGGGAGGCCAACTACTGGATATTGACATTCATTCATGCTCAGGAAAACGCACAAAACAAGGGGACTTTTCATAAATCATGCAAACTGTTGAATAAGGATGCATTGCCAAAGGTTACTGAACCAGCCCCTCTGAAGCTTACAAAGCAGTGATGATATGGGTGCTCATCTGCTGGATTATTTGTCTGACTTTTCACCCAATCTCTGATGCTATTGCAGTCTGCACACACACACACACACACACACACACACACACACACATGGGGTGGGGAAGAACAGCCTGTTGTCTCGTTATGTCCACCTTGAGGCGATTGTGGACAAAGGACTAATGAGGACAGCTCAGAGACGGCTACACGCTGAAAAGCAAGACAGAGAAAAACACATGCAAACAAGAAAAACTGCTTCAGAAGGAGCAGTTTTCTCTCTGCATCTCTGCAGGAGATGTGAAAGAAGCCGGGAGGTGATTTTCAATTAGCGACAGCGTACCATGCACAACTTACAGTATGTGTGCACAGGCGGTAATTGCCCATCGAGAAAGCACCAAATGTGGATTGAATTTGAGTAAACAATCTGTAAAGGATGCTTTTTTCAAGGAATGTAATCACAATCAATCGGTGTTCCCTCTCCGCTGATGCGCAGAAAGCTTTGTAATTGTATCTCCTCCACTCTCCAGCCATATATTCATCCCTCATTTCCTCCAACTTTACTAACTTTCAAGTGCCAAAAATAACAATTGAATAAGCACTAAACATTCGCACCCCCCCCCCCCCCCCCCAAAAAAGCGAGCCGATATAGTATTGTTCACGTTTCATGTGTTTGCACACATCCCGGTGAGAGGAGAGTGGGCGGATGGTTACGTTCCATCTCTCCCTGTGGGAGACGAGGCCCGTGTGGTCGGCTGGTCACACTGGTATGGAGCTTGTGGCAGGCTCAGCCAATGAGAACTAATGCAACAAGATGGGATCCTGCCCTGGTTGGTTTGGTTCAAGGTGGAGGTCTGTTCGGCCAGTTCCAGCCGGTAGGTTCAGCGACTGAGGCCACCAAGCCTCGGAATGAGCCCGTTTCATGTTATCGTAGTGTGGTGCTATTCAAATGCTTTTTAAGGGCCCCTGTTCTGCTCTCTTTGTGGAAGGGACTTATTAATGGCCTGTTGGACAGCAACACATACCAACAACAACACATTTTGCAACGTTTACATTGTTGGTCAAGCATTGTGTCGGTCTTTGAGAAACGTTGAAGGCTATTTACTTCCCTATCATTTCATTTCATACCTAAAAACATGAAATGAGAAAGTAATTGGTAGCTCTATAGTGATTATTAAAATATTTGTCTGTTGCAATCCTGAGTCTAGTTGAGAGACGTCAGACCAGGTTCCATTACTGTCGGGTGAAGTCGCCTGAAAACACACCTTAAGACCGTTGGCGGGTGAGGATTATCCCAAAAACATCTGAAGGGCAGGTTTCAAGAGAGGTTGCATATACAGCTGATTTCAGCAATAAACTGATGAGCAAATTACTATTATTAATGCAAATCAAATGCTTAGAATCCTCAGGTCTGCAACACTTGGGGAAGCATCTGCATCCCTTTTTTTAAGTACTATTTGTTGTACTGTCTCTTTATCTATTTGTCTCTTCCCCGCATAAACCATCCCCAACAACAACCATCCCTTCCCGCTACCAAAGACAATCGCATCCACGCTGTATGAGACTGTTTAAGCAACACGTCACCCGTTCTACTCTGACGCAGCCTCCGGTTTCTATGAAAATCCACTTCGCTCCACACATTTATTAAATCCTGTCCAGTGTATGGGAATGCATCTCGGAGCAGCTCTTCCCTTATTGGCCCGTGGCCTTAGGGTCTTTGTTATGATTGGATACTCACAGGAAGCCAGCCACCCCCTCCGTGTGTCTCTCTCGTTCTAAAGGTCTGCTCCTGCATATTAAACAGTCTGGAGCGTGGCAGCGATCTAATGCGGGGGCTCCTTTATCTATGTTATGGCTTCAATGGAAGAATACATTAAAGGAGGCGGTCAGAAGGTGCAGAATACGGTGTGGTCACACGGAGGAGAAGCCTGTCTTTGGGAGGGGAGTTTAAAAGGGGGGCGAAGGGGATGTTGAGACTTGTCCCAGGGATAAAGACAGATGATGAGGCTGCATTGCTGTAAACCAGTGAGTCAGCCCTCCCTTCCAACGGACACAGGGCCGCTGAGTGAGAAAGCCGGGAGATGCAATGGGGGGGAGATGCATGGGAACTGTCCCCGGTGCTGAAATCTGGAACTGCTGCTTTCTATACGGTTCAAGTTCAGCTCAGTGCGGGAGGGAAGAAAGAGAAAAAATAGAAATCCTTGAACAGAGGCGGTCGATACTTGCCTGACCCACACATTAAACCAACAACTACAGCTTTAGCATGACGGGTCTCCAAACGCTGCTTTTTACCGCCAGAAAAGCTAAACGATGGATTTGTAATCATCTGTCTAATGTATGCCAAAAAACAGAAGCTTCGAGTTCTTCCACACAGAGCCCGTCCCCAAGTCGGGCTGTTCGCCATTCTGATCACAAAGCCGGCAGCGGGAGTCTCTCTACCGTGTAATTCTTCCTGAGCCAAGTTAAAAAGATTCCCATTAAAGTAGGCCTACCGCTTAAAGCCCCAAAACCTCGGACGATTGTATTGGGTTGTCACGCCTTTTAGTGGACTAATCATCTCCACACACACACAAACACGCACAATCAACCCCCTCCATTCATATTCCTTGAAATGATTTGCATTATTCCTTTCTCAACGCTGTCATGCCTTGAGGCTGACCCCCCTTTGCCAGCGTGCACCACATCACACAAGCAGCGGAGAGAGGAATTGCACCGCTGCATGTTGCAGCCAGCTGTTCTGAGGGGGAATTCAGCTGCATCATTCAGAAGCAAAGAAGGTGTTTCTGCTATAATGGCTGCGGAATCATGTGACTGCCGGTGCAGAGGGGGGAGGGGGGGGGGGGGTTGCAGAAAACGTGGCTGTCAACTTTGCCGGTGCCGTCACAGTGTGGGACGTTCCCCTCAGAACACCAAAGCAAACGCCTCTGCTTGACACCAGTAACAAATCCGCTAACGGGGGCTCCTAAATACTATACATTACATCTGGACCGTTCTCTGTTTTGACACCAACCGATTATGCAACAGGTGTAGTACTTGATGAAGAAACCCCTATTGGCCATAAGGGTCCTTGTTGCAATAAAACGCATTTTCGGATGAGGCCAAAAGGGGGTGGGGGGCTGGATATGATGTCACGAGTACGTAAATAAGGGGGCTTTTTCTCGGGCACTGCAGAGACCAGGCGGGTGTGGTGACTGCATTAGTAGGCGCGCAAGCGCTCCGCATGAGAGCGCGAATGTGGACATTCCCCGTGACGGCTGTCTCTCCATCGCTGTGACGACCCCCGAGTTGTCGGGACGTGTCTTGAAGTTCAAATCACTCATCCGCTGCCAGAAAAATGGACCCAATCGTGTAAATGCTTTTTAAAATTTTTTTTTAGCCTTGCTGCTTTGATTCCGACAGCCACAAGGCGCTCACCGACGGCGCGCTGTTGCCATTAAACCCCTCATGCACGAATACATGCACGATGACAATCGGAAAACAGCTTGGCATTCTCTACAGACCCCCCCCCCCCCCTCCTCCACACATGAACAACAACCGAATTGTCCAGCGGCTTCATAAAATATGCAGGTATGAAAATAAAAAAAGGCACATCGGAAAGCAGCGACATCTCAAGCACAACACTTTTCTTTTCTTCTTTTTTTTGAGAGAGTAAATTCATGCTCTGCTGAGAACTGACCTCCCAGTCTAACGAATCCCACTCTTCGGTAAACATCCGGAGAATTTCTTTTCATCCAAAAAAGAGCGGACCAGGCGCAGCGGCTCTACGGAGCGACCGGGCGAAGCGATGCCATTGCGCTTTTGGTGTATTATCCTCATGAAATCAACGCGAGCGGCGGGACGTCGTCAGGAGAAAGCATCTCGTCCCGGCGTGAAGACACACGATGAGCGAAGCTATGCTTTACAGTCCAACATGTTTTTTGGTCTGGTTTGGGCTTTTTTTTCTTTTGCGATGGTTGCGACCAATTAGCGCGCCACTTGCGCTCGGAGGCGAGCAGCTCCCGACGAGGCGCTCCTTCTCTCGCGCCTCGCGATTATTTTAGCTGGTGATGCGCTGCTTTTTTTGAAGAAGAAAAAAAAATAGGAAGAGGAAAAAAAAAAATGTGGCAGACTATACAACACACGCAACTTCTCATTTCCAGGATATTGGAAGGGGGTGGGGTGGCGGGAGAGGAGGGGGGGGGGGCGGAGAGGGCGAATTTAGCGTAGCGCATTACTCCAAAGCCAATAAATCCCCGTAGCGCATTTGACAAATCCTTCCCCTCTGCCGAGGAGCAACAATAGAGGATCCGCTAAAGGTCCCCTGCACGATGCGCCTCCTAAAACATGTGACTCCATCTATCCCGTGGCGGTGGTGGTGGAGAAAAGAAGAAAAAAAAATACTCATTGGATCCATAAAAAGGCCCTAAGCAGTGGGAGACACTTTATGTGGGTGGGGAAGGGTGGGGTGGGAGGGGGGCATGGTGGTGCTACAAATGAATGACACCGTATACCACACGGTCGACTACTCACCATTAGCACGGCAAAGTTATTGTGGTGGGTGCAATGAATGGTGGTCGTGTTGCCCCCGGAGCCCGTTATGTGGCAGCCCTCTGCCCTCCAGCCACCGTGTCCATCCAGCAGGTCAAAATCCCAGTAGGCGGCGGTGGGGTCTACACCCAGTGCGAAGTGCCTGAGAGCGATGGTAACGGAGTGCACGGCGCTCCCGAGGCTGCACCCATCTGCGCGGAGGAGAGGAGGGAGGTGGGGGGGCAAGATATTCAATTAGGGAATCCAAGCGTAAAGTCTGTAAGTGCTACGTGGCCAACAGAGGAGCGTGGAGAAGGGTGCGCGCGTCCGACATGGCACAAGCGCGCCACACGTACACGTCGCTCAAGTGTCAGACGGACTGTTGCGTTAAGTGTTGCAAGTGGACTCAAAATAGAAAGTCTTTCTCCCTCCCCCTCCCCGCCTCAAGGGATCAGTGAAGTGGAAAGTGACGTGAACGCGCGTGTGACGAAAGCAAATAACAGAAAGTCATTGATTTATTTTGGCAACGTGCACGCCACGGCTGCGGAGCGCGTGAGTCAACGTGTTGCGCAGAGCAAACCGCTAAGATGATGTGTGCGTATACGTGTGCAAGCATGTTGGCAATATAGTGCAGTGTTGACATTTCATGATGGAATCATGGTAATACAATGGATTTCCTCTTACCTAATTTTGTGAAAGCAACTGGTGTCGAAACGCTCCTGCGCTTCCCATCGTCGGCGAGATTTGACGAATTCCCCGTGCAAGGGAAGAGTTTCCCATTGCGAAACACGATAAACTGCAGCCGGCACGTGGAGTTATCAACAGATTGCAACGCAGAGGAGGAAATCGGCGCACCAGCCAGCGGTAAATGGATTGAGGCGACTGCCACGGAGTTCTGCGGATGGAACCAAAAAAAAAGAAAAGAAAAAAATTAAATAATGTCTCTTGAATGCGCAGGGAGACAGAGAAAAAAACCCGCCAACTCCCGTAGAATAAGACTGACAGTAGCTTTTCCTCTCCAGGCGCGGTGGCGACCATAGACCGCAAGTGACCAAGGGAATGAGAATCACGCTCGGAGCTCTAGCGCGCCTTTTTGGTCGGGCTCCCTGCCGCAGAGGTGGAAATGGTTTTTACCATTTCAGCTTGAGGGCACATCAACACTGCAGCTTGATTTAAAGAGACAACCGGTCTAACTTTATCTTCTTTCCTCCAACTATAACCCCTTCCCCCCTCCACCCTCCAAAGAAAGCCCCATCCCGGGCAACATTTGGTGGGGAAAATGGTTTCCACGAGAAAAGCATGGTCTGGGTATTTCAAGGTGTAGGCACTAGCATTTTTGTCTACAAGAATACCACGTGCAGCCCAAAATTCTCATTCCAAATCCAACCTGGGTCTGTGCCCTTCCTGTCCCGAGCTAATCAGCTCGAAAATCAGAATCCTGCCCTTTGGAAATGCAAGATAACAGCTGCAGGAACTTTGCCTCAATCTTCAGTGAATGGACGCCTGAGGTGGACAGAAACTTTGTTCAAGGGTGTGTGGATCGGTGACAGGCTGCGCTTAGGACGCGACAGGCAGCACTTAACCCTGCCGGAAGATCAGGTTTAATAATAAAAAAAGCCTCCAAAGTGCCACTGTCAGCATGTCTGGTTGTTCCTCCACTGCATGCATTTTATCAGGTGATAAAACTGCACTGACGGGCTCAACATGACAAATACATGGACACAGAGGACTACAGTGTGCTTCCCATGGGCAGTTGTTTTTTGAAAGGTTGCCAGCGTGTGTTTCTACAAACAACAGGATACGTTCAATGTTTGCAGAAGTGAAGATTTTTCATAACTACATTTCATACAACCCTCATCACCCAACTAGAAAATGCCTGTTGATAATGGGTTTTTTTTAGACAGCTGAACTTTTTTGGCTGAAGTTAGAAAGAAACTGTTAAAAGAAGAGGCCAACAACGCAACAATAACAACATTGCATAGCAACAGAACGTAACAACTGTAAACAACAAAACTTAGACATAACTTAAGGATGTAACTAGGCGTAGCCACATAAATGATCAAATCATATTAAACAGGATAATTTATACAAACCAACACTGCAAAGTAATGTAACAATTCAATGACACAAGTTAACAAAATAGAGCAAAGTAACTTAAAAAAAACATAAGAAAACAAAACACAAAAACATTGCAGCATTTTAAAGCAAGTTAAAAACATATTTGCATATTTTTATGTCATAAACAACATAATTTAACAACTATATAAAATAATCTTTTGCTCTGACCAAAAAAGGAAACCATTCACATTCAACATATCCGTGGGATGTAGAAACGTAAAATGCCAACTTTTTAATGAAATAGCTGTGGTCATTAAGACATTACTAGTCCAACAGATTTCTAGGAGGAAGAATAATCCTTTTTCATCCAATGAATGGAAAATAATGCTAATGACGGGGGCTGAGGAGTTATCCATTGTGTAACACGGGACACTTTAAAAATCAAAGTCTGTTTATGCTTTCAATCACGTCACCGCACAGTGTGAAGGGATCAGCATTCTGAGCCTCAACGGGAGGGAAGCTTCCTGACCGAGAGGGATTTGGATGCCCATAAAGTGCCCTTAACGGGAAGCTGCTTAGTCAGACGTTCCGCCCAATCAATGTCGAGCAGAAACATGGACGAACGTCTTAATCAAGTTAAACAAGAGCTCCTATAGCGCGTTCTGGTGTTGTGGTGTTTGCTAAATGCGGCGTGCCCTGGCGGTGACCTGCTTGGTGCCCCCCCCCCTCAGATACAAGCCTCTGGAGTGTTTTCATCCAGGAAAATAATTCCGTATCGCTGAAAGAACGACGGCGTGCTTAAGCACAATTGCTTTACATTACTTCCACCGTGGATTGCGAGCTAGTGGTGATTTTAAAGCATTGGGTTGGTTCGCTATTACTTGCTGCATTGACTCGCTCTTGAAAGGATATTGATTTCCTTTCCACACTGTGTTGTGTGTGTGTGTGTGTGTGTGTGTGTGTGTGTGTGTAGGGGGAGGAGGAAATTCTTGAGAGAATCCTTAAAACTTACGTTGCATCATTTCCCTCCAAACAGCTTGAGCTCGGCAGTCTGTTTTCAGAGACGTCGTGCGATACCGACATCAATAGTTAGAGGCGGGGAGGATTTGATCCTCGGTGACCATCAGGCTGTCCAAGGGGCCTGATGCCCCGCGGCCAACACAGGGGCCAGGAGACCTCTCCAGTCGCGGGTGGAGTGGTGTTTCGGTGGTGCGGGTGGGGTTTTCCAGGCCTACAACTAAGGTATTGTTTGGTTTTTTTTTTAAAAGCACAAAACATGCATTAAAGAAATGCTTCTTAAATTGGCTTTCAAATATTGCTCAAATTTCTTCAAATTGAACAATATACAAACTATTAAGTACTATTGATGGCTAGCTGTAGCTAGCCATAGCTAGCTAGAAACGGTAGGCTATCGTTACCCGCTGACAGGACGGAGTCACCACAGTAATGTGAAGAGTATTTCAATCGCCACAGGCAGCAAAAGGAAGCACCAAAATCTGCGTTGCGTTTAGTTCCAGTAGGTACCGGTTGCATATTGCCACCGGTTTTTGGTACCCGACCCCACATACAACTCACATGAAAGAAATCTTGGTAGCCTACACATGTGTCCTTCGACGTCTGTTGTCCTCTTTCATGTGGCGTTTCAAGGCGATTTACAACCCAAAGGGTGTGCGTTCCTGGTGACAATCTATGTTCCTCCTCACCAACCTAAGCAGCTACACTTCCTCAACCAAACACGAGCGGAAGCCGAGCACTTCAGGGTTGATTTAGCTGGTTGCACCTCGGCCGTTTGACCTTCCTTCCGCGCCCCTCTCTTTCTAACAGGGCCGCATGCGGTAGCCTTAGTAACCACAATCACACGCTCTCCTCCGTCTCTCGCTCAGGCTTCGGGATCCTCCTTACCACCTCCATACCCCCCCCCACCCATGATTTTTTCTTTCCTTACAGAGGACATTCAGGTGAATGTCAGCTCCTATTTTCTGAGCTGTTTCCTTTCCTCCATCTCCCTCCTTCCTCCCACCTTGATACGCGGCCGTGCTTCACAGAGCCAGAGAGCTGCAAAAGAAAAAAAAGGAAAACAGGCTGGAGGGCACAACACAACAGTGGTGTTTGACCCGGGGGGGCCGGAGCCAAGTCACAGCATAAACATCACGCTTAAACATGGCTGCTTAACTTCAGAGCGGGGATTACTGCCGGTGTGTGTTTAAGACAAAGACGGGGGAAATTAAGAGCCAGTGAGTGTGTCTTTGTTGCGTAATCCAAAATTAGAAAAAGCCACAGCTCTGTGTCTTTGTAGATATATCTGGCGGAGAGATAAACGTATTTATTTGCACAGGCGGCGAGTTGGAAATGAAATATAAATGAAATATATTCGGCTCAAAGGCCGGCCCGCTGAGCTCGGTCCAGAGGAACTGCTGACGAGCATGATGGGAGATTTGCATAATTTCTCCTTTGTAATCATCGGCAGGCTCAAAGACACGGTGACCATGACAAATAGGTCGACATCAGGAGACTTCAGGGGAGTCGTAGCGTTCTGACGATAAATGACAGTTTGCTCTCCGGCAAACATTTAGCGAGGCGCCGCGTGCGCTCCTCAGCTGGAGCTACTTTCGAAGGTTTGCATTCGCACCGACCGGCGATTCAAACAGCGCCCTATACGGTTGCCATGCCAACAGGAGTCCACTTCCTCCAGTGGTGGTGTGGTTTGGTGTAGATGGGGGGGGAGGGGGGGGGGGGCATTTGAGCAGATTTGAAGCAGGGAATCAGGCTCTTTGGAGAGAGGCGGAGAGGTGCTTCGGCTGTCTGCTACGCTCTCCTCCTCCGTCAGCTCTGCTTCAAGCTGCCACATCACAGCGTCCGAAACAGAGACACAAACAGACGCTGCAACAGATGGACAACAGTGTCTGGTTAAAACGGCACAAATTTCATTTATTGTGCGTAAAAGCATAACTACCATATTAGCTGTGGGCTGATTGATAATGAGCCAACTCTTGGAGACAAAACAGATCTTAGGGGGGGAAATTCCCAGTATTCATTAACACAAATACACAGATCCTCCACTGGCAGCTTCCTCCGCATCCACAAATGTCTCATCAGCCTGCAGATGCCACGTCAGTGTAGCCTACGTGCTCATTATTAGTAAAGGCAGAGACGGCCGTGACTCAGTGCACAGAATGTCTCCTGAAAGCACGTATTTTCAGGAAGCACTGTAATGATGAGAAACAATTTGGGCCCACAAAAAAAAAAGAAAAACAACACACATGATTTCATTCCTCTGAGTCATCAGCCATGTATTCATAAAGGGCCGGCTCAGCCAAATAGCAAAATAACATTCTAACGAGGCGGTATCAAGCCTTGCAATAGTTTCTGAGAAGTATCCCTGTGGCCATTCAGATGATGTTCGATCACAACTGTTTTAAAGGTTCCGTAGAAGCTATCGAGATGTTGTCATCTGTGCATGACAGGAGCAGTTAAAGGGAGGGGGACGGTTAAGTCTGTGCAGTTAGAGCACTTGGTTGTGGTTTATTAAATAAATAATAATTAATAAAATAAAAGCCTCACACTGTCGTACAAATGTTAAGTACTGTTTAAATGGCAAAATTCTTTCTGCAGTGGCACTAAACCTCTGGAGTAAGATGTAAATTACAAGGTAACAAATTGTCCAATATCAACCTTGTCCTGAGGCCATGCGGAGTGGGAAGGCGGGTTAGGCTTCTAGGAAAGACAATCAAATGTAGCTTCTTTTTACTGACTATATTACAAATACAAACCTCCTCCTTTTTTTTAAACTGGTGTGGTAAAACATCACCCGTAGTGCCCGTTGCTTCTTACTTACAA